ACAAAGTCTTGTTGCTCACCTCCTGCATTCTTTACCAGTCTCAGAAAACATGCTAAGGACACCCATGTGCAGCACTGTGCACATCGACTGGTGTACACGCGTGATGCTGCAGACACCAAGGAATGGAGTTAATCACGGAGTGCACATCTGGGTGTAACTGTTGTGCACATGTGACGGTGAACACATGTGACACACAGGAACACATGCAGTGATACATGCATGCAGTGCTCACGTGACGGTAAGCACACACAACACACCTGCACTGTGCACGCTGGCAGTACATGTGTGCACACTAGACACACGTGTCTGTGCACACATATGGAGGCATCAGTGATGCCTCCCAACTGCTACCTCGGCGTAGATAACAGAGAGCTGGGGGTCAGCGGGGGCGTTGGGGGGCTGAGTGCTGGGGGTCACAGCTTGCAGCTCCATGTAGGTCAGACCCTCGCTGTCACTGGAAGGCACCTGGGGACACCGTGGGAAGGCAGAGTGTCAACCTGGGGGTCCCCAATGTCCTTTGGGAGGGACACCGCGTGAGTGATGTTTGGGGTTCTTCCTACACAGTGTGAAAGTGGCTCATGGGGTCTGAGGGGTATTTAAGTTTTGGAGGGGCCAGGGGGATCTGAGGGCTCAGATTTGGGTGTCTCCACAATGCAGATTTGGAGTTCCTCATGGTCTGGGTTTGGGGGCTGTCCTTAACATTGAGGCAAACCATATGAGGCTGTGGATCCCCTGGGGTCCCAATGGACAGGGTTTGGGACTGTAAATGGGATGAGGAGTTGTTCCAAGGGTCAGGCCGGAGTCTGGGGTTCCCTGACCTGGACACTTACCTGGAATTCCATGTCCTCAGGCCTTTCTGCAGGGGTGCCTGCATCAAAACAAGGAGGAGAATGGGATGGGGCTATGGGGGGGCTGTGAAGACTTTGAGAGGATCAACTGAGAAATAAAGACGTTTAAACCCTTCCCCACCAGGGCACTCATCTCTCCGTATCCGACGTCTGCAGGCACCGAGGAGGAAGAAGACAACAAGGATGAGGATGAAGACAAAGGCAGCAGTGCAGCCCCCAGCCACTGCCACCACCAGCATCCCATGGGAACTGTCTGCAGCACCTGTGGTGTCCGGGTGTTTGGGTTATCACATCCTCAACCACAGCCTCTATAGGGACAGGAGGTGACA